GCAATGTCTCTGTTTTGGATCAGGTACTGTCATTGAGAACACTCTAAGGAAATGAGCCATCTTTGTGGTATTCTCTGAAGTAAATTCATTGGTTCCATTTCCTCTGGATTACACTTTGTACATAATCAAAAATTTATTATTCCCTTATGCTTTATATAAAAGTTAACTCAAAATGAATCATGATCCTAAATGTAAAACATAAAACTAGAAAAATTTTAGAAAAGCACATGGGAGAAAATCTTGGGGACTTAGGGCTTGGAGAAGTATTCTTAGACATGACACCAAAACAAGAGCCACGTAGTAGGCTGAATAATAGTCCCCACAAAATGTCCAGATCCTAATTCCTGGAAATGTAAATTTATACCCTACGCGGCTAAAGGGACTTCGCAGATATGATTAAGAGAAGGGGAGAGTATCCTAAATAATCTACATAGGCCCAATGTAATAACAAGGGTCCTTATAAGAGGGAGGCAAGAAGATATGAGACAGAGAAGATGTGATAATAGAAGTAGAGGGAGGAGTGATGCCTTTGCTGGAAGAGGGTCATGCATCTGATACAATAGGGACTTGGGTCTGGGAATGGAAAAATACCAGGTGTCTAGGAAGCCAAGTTAAGACCAGGTAGCCAGAGAAAATCAAAACCACTGTTCCTCATGCACAGTTGATCAAGGTTTGACTGCTATATGATCTTCTTGGGATGACGGTAATGAGCAATACCACCATCTTAAAAAAAAATCTATCTTTATTGTTGAAAGTATTACAGATGTCTCCCCTCCATTGATCCCCTCCATCTTGCATCCGCCACCTCCCTGTCCCCCATACCAGGTCTTCCCTGCACTATTGTCTGTGTCCATGGGTTATGCATATATGCATATAAGTTCTTTGATTAATCTCTCCCCACCCACTCCCCCACCCACGCCTGCCCACTGAGATTCATCAGTCTGTTCCATGCTTCCATGTCTCTGGATCTATTTTGTTCATCACTTTATTTTGTTCATTAGATTCCACATATGAGTGAGATCATGTGATACTTGTCTTTCTCTGACTGGCTTATTTCGCTTAACATAATACTCTCCAGGTCCATCCATACTACTGCAAAAAGTAAGATTTACTTCTCTCTTATAGCTGAGTAGTATTCCATTGTGTAAATATACCACAGCTTTTTTATCCACTCATCTACTGATGGGCACTTGGGCTGTTTCCAGATCTTAGCTATTGTAAACTGCGCTGCTATGAACATACAGGTGCATAAATTCTTTCTGATTGGTGTTTCTGGTTTCTTACCACATCTTTTGTTTTGTTGTTGTTGTTGTTGTTTTGTGTTTTTTTGTTGTTTATTTGTTTGTTATTGTTTTAATTTTAATTTTTTTCAATTACAGTTGACATTCATATATTATTTTCAGGTGTACAGCATAGTGGTTAGACATTTATATATATAACTTACAAAGTAATTCCCCCCAATAAGTCTAGTACCCACCTGGCACCACACATAGTTATTATAATATTATTGACTATATTCCCTATGCTGCACTTTACATCCCCATGACTAGTCTGTAACTGCCAATTTGTACTTCTTAACTCTATTTGTTTTTGTTCAACTTTCTCAAGGTTTGTCCAGCACCTAAGCTGCTGAGCTTCTGGTTTGAGATGGGCCCAATGCCCTCTGCGCTCCCAAGGAAACACCAGAGATTATCAAGTTCCTCAAGCAGATGGTGGGGGACTTCTGTGGGTGAGAGCCATCCTGTGCTGGATTATATATAGGATATAATATTCTAATGATAAGTCCTCGTTCCTACACAATGTAAGGAAGGCACTGGGGTCTCCTGCCTAGTTTTGCTGAATTAGTAACAGGGAAGAACAGAGGTATAAAATGAGGCCTTTTGTGAGTAGAGCCCTGGGTGAAATCAGGAGTCTCCTGCTGACCATCACTGCATGGGTTTGGGAAAATCATTTTCCCAGCTATAAAATAGAAATTATATCTGACTTCCTGATGTCTCAGAGGCAGTATGAGCATGAATTTTTTTCTTAAATATGTTTTTATTGATTTCAGAGAGAGGGAGAGAGAGATAGAAACATCAGTGATGTGAGTCATTGATTAGCTGCCTCCTGCCCGCCTCCTACTGAGGATCGAGCCTGCAACCCAAGCATGTGCCCTCACCGGGAATTGAACCATGCATGACCTTCTGGTGTTCATAGGTTGATGCTCAACTGCTGAGCGATGCCAGCTGGCCGAGTATGAGCATGAAGTTTGAAGAGAGGAGAGAGAGAGAGAGAGAGAGAGAGAGAGAGAGAGAGAGAGAGAGAGAAGAGAAACATTATAAATTCTTAAGTGAAAGAAATGTATATACAGGTGAAGTATTTTGGGGATCTCTCTCCTGAAAGCTAATTCTTTCCCTTTAATGTGAGGAACACATATGCCTGCTAACAACTGAGCAGCAAAACCACAAAACCACACTGTCCAACATGAGGCTGAGAGAAAGAAGCCAGAAGCAAAGGGCCACATACAGTGTGATTCCTTTGCAACCCTGCCATCTTGTCCCCACAGTGCAAGCATGGAGATTTGGATATAGATGCCAAGCAACCCTACAGAAGGAGGAAGTAACCCCACCCTGACATGGAAAATTCCACTCCTGGCCTCTTCACAAGACCCGCTTTTCACGCAAGCTTGCTTTGTCCCCAGCTTATAAAAACAGTCTAGCAGAGCCAGGCCCCAAGCCAGTTCAGAGGACCTTCCTTTCCTTTGTGCTGCCTCCCTTGTGCTCAAGCATAAGCTTAATACATTCTGCCTGGAAATTATTTGAGGTTTCCTCTCAATTTCAATCTTGGGGAACCCAAGAACCCCAACACCAGTAACAAACTGAGGAATATGAATAGTCTTTAAAAGCCGTAAAAGGTAAAGAATGGATTCTCTCTTAGAGTCTCCAGAAGGAATGCAACCTTGCCAACACCTTGATTTTAGCCCAGTGAGACCCCTTTTCAGGTTTTTCACTTCCAAAATTGTAAGATAATATAGTTGTTTTATGCAATTAAGTTTGTTACAGCTCCAATGTAAACTGATACATTAACAAAAGAAAACTTTTAGTGGGAATTAAAGCATGGGAAGGGAAGATCAGGGTGACTCCAAAGCTCAGTTACATAGGTTACCCTGGGCTTTCTAAAAGGGAAATTTCATGGGTGGAGTGGCCTGGCTCTTTATCTGATTATGTAGCTGGCAGTATGTTTATTTGAGATGGATGTCTCTGAAATGGATGCCTTGGCAATCAAAAAAGGTTAATGTCAGACACTTATATTACAATAAAAAATGGTAATTATCAGGCATTTTTACTCCAGTTTTCCTAATGGCTAATGATATTGAACACCTTTTCATGTGCTTATTTGCTGTCTATAAATCTTCTTCAGTGAAATGTCTCTCCATGACTTTTGCCCATTTTCTAATTGGATTGATTAGATTTTTTTACTGTTGAGAGTTCTTTATATGTTCTAGATACTAGGCTTTGTTGAATATATTTGTTGTTTATAGGTAGTTTCTCTCAGTCTGTAGCTTGTCTTTTCATCCTCCTTAACAGGGCCTTTTGCAGAGAAAATATTTTTAGTTTTGGTGAAGTCCAATTTATCAAATTTTTCTTTTGTTAATGTGAGTATACAATTGCTCCTGCATCATTTATTGAAAAGAGTATTCTTTCCCTCCATTGAATTGTCTTGGCACCCTTGGCAAAAGGCAATTGACCATAAATGTATGGGTTTGCTTCTGGACTCTCAATTCATTCTATTGATATAGAAAGATTTTTAAATTAATGTTATTTTCTCTGAGGCCTAACCTGGGACCACTCTGAGTAGAATCAATGTCATTTTTGCCCACACATATGAACTAATTTAAGTGGGGTGCCATGTGACCTCATTGAGGAAAATTATGTTCATTAATAGGTCTCCAGGAAATGAGAAACAGGAAGTGTGGTGATTGGTGCATTAGAAAGAATTTTGGATTAGAATTAGTAAGACCTGGGTTTGTATGCTATTCAATCCAAAGATATGGACAAGTTACTTAACTTCTGAGTTTTAGCTACCATGAAATGGAGATGATGGCAATTTTGCAGGGCTGGTGTTAGCATTAAGAGACAAAGGTTTTGAAAATAATGGCATGGTTCCTGGTACACAGTAGGTACTTTACATGAAGTAGACTCACAGCTGGTGTATGGTCTTGTGGCTCCCTCCCTTCTGACCCAGGATAGTTATGTGGGATCAGGAGAGATGGGCTCCTCAGTGTGTATCTGTGACATTTCCCACAGTTCTGCTCCTGTCTCCTACACTGTGCAGCAGTTATAGTTCTACTCCCTCACATTTTCTGTCAGGGGCAGTATAAAGGGTAGATGAAAAAGAGGAAAATGGCTCTCCACAGATCAGCTTTCTGGCTAGGTTAAAGGGAAGTACAGTAGTGAACTACAAAGTAGGAAATAGTCATATCTGGTTTTATATATCTAGAGCTTTATTTTAACAAAAGAAATAGCATAACTGCACGCAAAAGTTTTTGTCAGTGCAGAACTGTGTCACAACTGAGGGAATCCTGTCTGCTTAGATCAAGAAACCACAGTTCAGGTCCTTAGTTTACCTTGTGGTTGTCCCCAAATTGTAGGTAAAGGGTCTAGGAGGAAACAAACCATCCCTGTTCTCAACAAGTCTTCTAAGTCTAAACCTAAATAGTGATGGTATCACTAAGGGGCATGGTGTTCTTCGGCTTCTCATTCTTCTGATCAGAGAGTTGGCTGGAGTCAGGGGGAAAAAACATCTGCACAAGACTGCTTGTTCACCTCGGTTGTTGCCCAGTCTTCCCCTGTTCCTCTGGTTCCTTCCCCCAAACTTGACTCATTAAGTACTTTCTGGCTTGATTGGCCTCTTATCTCACACCTGAAGTCCTCTCCTCTCCCCAAATTCTTTCTTCTATGTGGCCTTACTTGGATCCCTCAATGCTTTGGGTGTTTAATAATAAGGGAATCCAGCTTCTGTTATATGACTGTCAGCTCCTGGGTCTCAGAAAGGCCATACCGAACTTTGTGCTCGTCAAACAACTTGCGCAGGGCACTGATGTACAGTGTGTGGTATTTGTCCACTGTCTTCTTGTTTGGCCTCTTAATCCTGGGGATTGGCAGGGGCTCCCCAACTGTAGGGAAGAAGAGGCAAGGATCAGAGCTCCCTCTCAACTCAAATTGCCCTCCCTCACAGGGGTCCACATACTGAAACTCAGTGTCCCCTTCTTTTGTTTTTCCTTCTGCTCCAACCTCATCCTGTCTCATATTCTCCAAATACCTAATCTCACGCATGCTTCAGAGTATGAGAACAAGCTCAGGAGAGTGCTGAAGGAATGTATGTGAATAATTATGCTCTCATGGCAGCTGTTGAACTCTGTTCCACTGGTGAACGGCCACAACTCTTATCTGTTCCGTTGTTGTCCCCACCCTGCCCTCAACCACACCCAATAGAATATCCATTGCCCATCCAAGCTGTGTGCCAGGTTCCTGGGACTTGATGTGTGACTTGGGTGGGGGGGAATCAAGGACCAGGGTGGTTCAGAGGTACTGGAAATCTCACCAACAGTGGTAATGGGCAGATTGAAAGGCAGGAAGCCCCAGGATTCTTGAGTGAGGCCTCGGCCATGGAAGGTACAGAAATTTAGTCCCAGAATTTTTTTGAATGTGTCCTGGAAGGTTTTTTGGAAAAACCTTAACCATGTGCCCTCAGGGAAGGTCTCTTGATTGTAAACCTCATTCTCTCCAAATGAATAGGAAGGAACAAGGTGTGCTCTGCAAAGAGAAGGGCAGAAGTGTGAGTTCTCCCAGGAAACTTCCCCCAGTGAAACCCTCACCAAGGTGGGAAACCTGTAAATCTCCCCATTATAGGACAAGATTCCAAGCACCCAAGCATCTTCAGCCTATGTCTCATTCTTGCCATGCCCCACCCTCCCAACTGAACCCTTTGTGAGGAGCTGCTACACATTTCCCCATAATCAGAAGAAACCAATCTTAGGAAACCTAACTGCCTTTATTGCACCCAGCATCCAGGGTGATCTTAAACTGCGTATCTGGACATGTCGCTCTTCACTTTAAAACTCTTCGAGAGCTCCCCACTTTGTACCACGCTACTTAACATGGTCTTTGTTCTCTAGTTCTGCCTACCTGGCTAGCTTTCCCTCTCCCTACCCCTTCCTTGCAGTCTGCTAAGCCATACTAAGTGTGACAAGCTCTCTCTTGTCTGTGTGTCTTTGTGCATTCTGCTCCCTCTACTGGAAATGCCTTCTTTCTGTCTTCACATGGCCAGTTCTATTTTTCCGTTCAATACTCAGCTCTGATTTCATCCCCTGAAGAAACTTTGACCACCTCCAATTCCCTCCCCCACAATGTAGATTAGGTACCCCTCACCTAATGCTTATCTTTCTCCTGCACTAATACTATCTTAACTCTAGTACATTCATCTTCTTACCTGTCTTACTGATGTTATCTGTCAAGCTGATCAAGTTGGGAACTCTTATCATTTACTTATGAATTCTTAGGGCCTGGCATAGTACTTGATATGAAAAAACCCTGAGTTCTTTCTCCCTTTTGGTCTGATTGGCAAGTCCTAATATTTCAATTCACAATTCAGATGTCACCCACTAATGAAACTTCTACTTTTGGTGAAAGTCTTTCCATCAACCAGTGCTTTCATAGCACTTTGTACATATCTCCATTATAACATGTCATTCATTCAACAAATATTTATTAAGTTCTTTCTATGTGCCAGTATTGTTTTAAGCCCTGGGGATACATCACTGAACACAATGGATTAAAAAATGTCTGTCATCATAGAGTTTACCTTTTATTGAGGGAAGACAGACAATAAACAATAATAACAAATAAATAAAAAACAGATATATAAATAAAAGTAATGATACATAAGCAAATGATAAGTGCAATGGGGAAAAGAGAGCAAGATAGCCAGGATAGACCTTATTGAGAAGAGGGACAGCTAGAGCACAGGCCCTAAGGCAGGAATGTGCACCTTGTTGGAGGATCAGCAAGGAGGTAAGTATAGCTCTAATGGAGTGAACAAGGAGCAGATCAGTAGGTGATGAGGTCAGAGAGGTGGCCAATGGCCAGATTATTTAGGGTCTTGCAGGCTCTTGTAAGGACTTTGGCTTTTGCTTGGAGTGAAATGGGAGTTGTTGGAACATTTGGTATAGTGACATGATTTGACTCATGTTTAATAGGATCATCCTGATAGAGGAATCATACTTCAACATAATGAAGGCCATATATGACAAACCCATAGTCAGCATCATACTCAATGGGAAAAAAACTAAAACTGTTAGCCTTAAGATCAAGAATAAGTCAGGGATGTCTACTTCACCACTCTTATTCAACATAGTTCTGGAAGTCCTAGCCACAGCAATCAGATAAGAAGAAGAAGTAAAAGGTATCCAAATTAGAAAGACAGTAAAACTGTCATTATTTGCAGATGACATGATATTATATATAGAAAACCTTAAAAACTCAACCAAAAAAAATGACTAGGTTTAATAAATGAATTCAACAAAGTAGCAGAATACAAAATTAATATTCAAAAATTGGTAGCATTTTTATACATCAATAACGAACTATCAGAAAGAGAAATTAAGAAAACAATCCCATTTACTCTTCCAACAACAAAAAAATAAAGTGCCTAGGAATAAATTTAACTAAGGAGGTAAAAGACCTGTACTTGGAAACTTATAAGATACTGAAGAAAGAACAAATAAGTGGAAGCATATACTTTTTTTATAGATAGAAAAAATTAACATCATTAAAATGTCTATATTATTCAAAACAATCTACAGATTCAACACAATTCCTATTAAAATATCAATGGCGTACCTCACAGATATATAATACATATTCCAAAAATTTATATGGAACCGTAAATACCCTGAATAGCCTCAGTGATCTTGAGAAAGAAGAACAAAGTTGGAGGGATCACACTACCTGGTATCAAACTATATTACAAGACCATAGTAATCAAAACAGCATGGTATTGGCATGAGAACAAGCATGTAAATCAATGGAACAGAATAAAGAGCACAAAAATAAACCGACACCTTTATGGTTAATTAATATTTGACAAAGGAAGCAAGAACATAGAGTGGGGTAACACTCTCTTCAATAAATGGCCTTGGAAAAATTAGATGCACGCAAAAAAATGAAACTAGACCACAACTTACACCATACACAAGAATAAACTAAAAATGGATTAAAGCCATAAATGTAAGGTGCAAAACCATAAAAATCTTAGAAGGAAACATAGGCAGTAAAATTCAGACATTTCTCATAGCAATATTTTTGTCAATATATCTCTTCAGGCAAGGGAAACAAAAGAAAAAATAAATAAATGGGACTACATAAAACTAAAAACTTTTTGCAGAGCAAAGGAAGCCATCAACAAAATGAAAAGACAACCTACTGAATGGAAGAACATATTTGCCAATGATACATCTGATAAGGGGTTAATATCTAAAATTTATAAAGAACTTTTATACCACTCAACACCAAAACAACAACAACAAAACCCAAAAACAATCCCATTAAAAACTGGGCAAAGGATCTGAACAGACACTTCTCCAAAGAGGACATATAGATGGCCAACAGACATATGAAAAAAAGCTCAACATCATTAATCATCAGAGAAATGCAAATTGAAACCACAATGAGATATCACCTCACACCTATCAGAATGGCGATCATCAATAAATCAACAAGGATGTGGAGAGAAGGGAACCCTTGTGCAGTGCTGGTGGGAATGTAGACTGGTGCAGCCACTGTGGAAAACAGTATGTAGTTTCCTCAAAAAATTAAACATGGAACTGTCTTTTGACCCACAATTCCACTTCTGGGATCTGAAGAAACTCAAAACACTAATTTGAAAGAATGTATGTACCCCAAAGTTTATTGCAGCATTATTTACAATAGCCAAGATTTGGAAGCAGCTCAAGTGCCCATCAGTAGATGAGTGGATAAAAAAGCTGTGGTACATTTACACAACGGAATACTACTTGGCTGTAAAAGAGAAGGAAATCTTAGCTTTTGCCACAGCATGGATGGACCTGGAAAGCATTATGCTTAGTGAAATAAGCCAGTCAGAGAAAGACAAGCACCATATGATCTCACTTATATGTGGAATCTAATGAACAAAATAAACTGACAAACAAAATAGAAACAGAGGCATGGATACATGGAACTGACTGACAGCTGTGAAAGGAGAGGGGTTTGGGGGGCTGGATGAAAGAAGGTGAAGGGATTAAGCAAAATTATACATATATATGTGTGTATATATACATGTATATGTGTGTGCATGTGTGTGTGTGTGTGTGTGTGTGTGTGTATATACATATATATATATATA